AAAGACTGAGTAGCAAGTGTGGCCAGGAGAGGACTTCCATGAGGAGCTGGGTTTGGAGTGATAGGGAGGCAGGTGGTGGGTGTGTCAATCAACTCATGTGGCTATAATGAAACACCTTAGCCAATTCAACTTACAAAGAGGTGAAGTTTGTTCTAATGGTTCTAGAAAATCCATCACAAGGTTGGGTGTTTCCATCACGCTAAGCCTCTGTGGAGAGCAGCCAATCGTGAAGGCACATGGAGGAGCAAGCAGCAGGCCCGCTTTATGTGTCAGGAAAACTGAGAAGGCAGGTGGGTTCCCGATTTTGAGACTGCACCCCAATAACCTGAGGACTGCTTGTGAGACTGTACTTCCTGAAGGCCACACCTCTGGGCAGCATTGCCCTGTAGCTGTGGATCAGTGGGAGGTTTGACCTACACAGCGAGCTGGGGGAGTAGAAAGAAGAGAAACAGAGTCTGAAGAAATCAGTGACTAGACAAGCTAGAAGAAGAGGAAGTGCATTCTCATTCTGTTCTTCCGGTGCCCAGGTGATTTTCCCATAGCTGGGGCAGGAGTCGGCATGGCTATGTCTTACTTGGTGTCTGTATCATTGCCATAGTTGGTGTTATCTTGGCTACTTTATTTGCTTTACAATGATGCTGCTTGCTCTTATGTGTTGAGGTACACTAAGTACATGGAGGGATGCTCCTTTTTGTGTGTGGGGTGATGTGCTGGTTTAATAACATCCTTTACTGATTCTTGGGTGCCCTGCTGGCACATAGTGGAGTTAAACAAGCAGAGCCCATGCAACAGGATTTTAGAGTTGGTGTCTGGCTGGCTGCTTGCAGGCCAGAGAGCTCTTTCAGCAGGAGTGTAGAGGTGCCTGGGAAGGTGAAACAGGTTGAGATCACAGCAAGGCACCCTGTAAGAATGGGCGTTGGATATAGCATGCAGGAGCTAGGTTTCCAGGAGTGAAAGAGGGAGAGAGACTCTCATCGTGATCCAGGGCTGGGCACTGGAGCCCATTGGTTGTAGCTAAGATTGAGCTGCTGGGGAGGCCTCCATTGATGGAGCTGGAGGTTGTGATTGCATCCTGAGGGCTCTGGGGAGCAGGATTGTTGTTGCTTGACTTTTTTTTTTTTAAATGGGGCAAGGATTTGATAATCTTGCAGTTGGTAAAACAGATCTGCTTTCCCCTTTTTGAGACTGAGAATTTGAAGGCTTATATAACGTTCTCTTCGCTTATTTCTTCATTGATATACATTATCATTCATAGTCATGGATTTCCTTTCACTCTTTCAGTAGTTAGTTGAATACAGTCTGCACTGATCAAATTCAGCCTTCAAATCACCCCTTTCTGACTGCTGATTAATCACTCTCAGCAGTGGTTCTGGCGTGTTCCCTGACCAGCAGCATCGAAACACTGGTGATGTAGGCATGTTCTTGGGACCCTGTGTGGACCTAGAGAAATGCCAAGTTTGGGAGGAATGGATTAAGAAGCCCTAGGTTATCCTAACGTGTTAGGGCTGCTGTTGCAGAAAATGCGTGGCTGGGGACCAAGGAAAGGAATAGGCCAGCCCTGGCTGAGAGGCCTCATGGACTTGTACCTGACAGGTGTTTGGTGACAGGTGCGGTCCATGGCCCAGTGGATGTGGGCCTTGGGTCTTGTGGTCTCAGGTCATATCAGGTTGATATTAATAGTCTCTGAGTCCACGTTACAGGTTTGTTCCCTGCTTGTAGCTAGGGTGGCTGTTAGTCTCAGCAGCTGCTACTTTGATAGTGACTGTCAGCTTAGTTGTCTACTGTGGTGTTAATTTGCCATGCACAAATCCAATTTATTTTTTTAAAATAACTTTTAGAAGTATTCTCCTTTACCAAAACTGTTATTATCATTACAGGCAGTTTCTTGCAATTCAGAATTTACTCTCCTTGTGGTAAATATGTTACTGATTTAAAGTGATGACTCAGAGCTGTTTTCTTCACTTACCTCACTACACAGATATTCTGCCACCTTTGTGAAACTAGGGAAGAAAGACATTTTGTGACAATGCTTATTTAACTATTGAAGAATATAGATGGAGGAGGAGGTCAACTGTCTTAGTTAGGGTTCCTATTGCTGTGATGAAACATCACCACCAAAAAGCAAGTTGGAGAGGAAGGAGTTTATTACACTTTCACATTGTAGTCCATCACTGAAAGAAGCCAGGACAGGAACTCAAACAGGGCAGGGACCTGGAGGCAGAAGCTGATGCAGAGGCCATGGAGGTGTTCTGCTTACTGGCTTGCTGTTTATGTTTTGCTCAGCCATCCTTTTTTAAAGAACCCTGGACACCAGCCCAGGGATGGCACCAACTACAATGGGCTGGGCCCTCTCCCATCGATCATAAATTCAGAAAATTCCCTACAGCCTTGCCTACAGCCCAGTTCTATGGAGGCATTTTCCTTTCCTTTTTTCCCCTGTCCTTTTTATTTATTCTTTCACACCATGCATCTCCATCCCAATCATTTCCCCATCCCTTTGTATTCACCCTCTCCCCCTCAAAATAAAATAAAATTTAAGAGGAAAAAGAAAAGAAAAAAAGAGAAGAAAACAATCTATCTCATCATAGAAGCTATAGTGTGACACAGTGAGTCACTCACTAAACCCTTTTGTCTGTGTGTCTTTACTTGTGAGGGTTCACTGCAAAGAGTCATTGGTCTCTTCCAGGCTTCTGGTTTCTGATACACTATCGATGCTGGGCCCTCACTGGAACTCCTCTTGGTTGTTCTGTTGCTGCCCTGTGTCGTGGAGATCCTACAGCTCTCAGTCTGCAGGACCAGTCCAGTCCCTTCATGTGCTTCAGTAGATGACTGATGGGGTGGATATTGGGTGGACCAACTCATAACCCTGGTTCTGGGCCTGGGTAGTTGCAGGGTTGATCAGCCTGGCAGCTCTCCTTTGTCCTCACCACTAGGGTGAACTCTCCTGCATTGCCCTGGCTAGTTTACCCCTTGTAGCAATGAGTAAGGGTCAGAGCCAGTTCTCCTGCTTTCATGCCCTCAGGGTTGGCTCTCCCAGACCTGGACCATCAGGGCCAGTTCTACTGTGTTGCACAGGCTGGGGCCACTCTCCCAAGATCTGCAGCTGATGAGGGGCAGGGCCAGCTCTCCTGCTGTTATGACCTCAGGGCCAGCTCCCCCACCTGCCTCAGGCGTTGATGGGGGTAGATGGGAAGAAAGGGCATCTCTCCTCACCCATGCAGCCACATGACAGATGTGTAAAGGGGACAGCTCTCCCATGCTCACAACTTCCTGGCTGGCTTACCCACACCTCCATCAATGGGGTTGCCCATATTGTGCTGCCCAGGTGGGGTACAGGGCCTGGGGAAACATTTCTTAATTGAGGCTCCTTCTCTCAGATGACTCTAGTTTGTGTCCAGTTGACATAAACCTAACCAGCACATTAACCCGTAGGGTATGGTCATGGTTAAGATTAGTCTGCAAGGAATAACCAGATCTGTATTGTTTAGGCTGGCCCTGATTTAACTACTGTCATTCTTACATCAATGAATTGGCTACTGTCTTGTAACTTTAATGTGGCTGGCCTAGCACAGCCTGCTCAGGAGCTCTGCAGATAGCTCGGATTATAAAGAGGGTGAAATAGGAGTGGGTGAACAGATTTCTGCACTGGTTCTGACTGATGCAGAGAATGCGTGGTGTGGATGTTTCAGCAAACGTGTGTGCCTAGTTTATGCCAAGATCCATTTCATAAGCAGGAAACTGATACTCAAAGGAGTGCTGACTGCCCAGGATGACAGAGAAGCTGGGAAGCACATCCCCTGTCTCAAAACCCTACCAGGCCAGGGCCCATAAATGAGGTGGCCCCGTGCGTCAGTTGTGGCATGCTCTTGTTCCATGGAGTGTTCTCCAAACAAAGAAGCTTTGAGAATAGTTACCTATTTGTTGTAATATTTTATATAATATTGTATGATAATATGGCATCAAATTGATAGTATTATAATTATAATGTCATTACCTGAAGGTCATATTTAAGTCTATCCTAGGAAACCAGAACACAAGCTAGTTTGTTCAGTTGTCTCTGGTGCCTTCTTTACTCTGTCTCATATCTAGACCATCAAACCTTGAGTCACTGACTCCTCTTCAGAATGGTTTAAATGTTTTATTTGCTTATGAAGATTTAAGATAGAGTGAAAAAAATTAAAGATGCAGAAGCCACTTGGAAAGTTCGCTGCTTGCTCTAGATTCTACTTGCTCTAAATTAATTTCATTTATTAATTAGAGCTCCAATGACGTCTATAAATTGCTTATCTTAGAACAGTAAAAAAAAAATGTCATTAAAATTGGGGCCATTTTCATTTCCCAGAAGGGAACATTGGATGTGGGATTTCATGGCTTGTGTCCAGTAGGCTTTTGGAGGTACTCTCTCCCTTCCTCTTATCCTTTCTTCACTCCAGTTTTGTTCCTTCAGTGTCCCACAGCCCTCTCCTGTCTTCCAGTGAAATGCTTTTGTGCCCTGGCTTTCGTTTTGCTGTTGGAAGGACTATTCCTGGGATGATAATGCTGTGACTCAGGATTCTAGAGAATTCATTAATTTGTTGTCATTTACCATTTGTCTTTCTTCAAGCACTCTGTCTAAATAGTCTCAAATAGTCTCTGTCTAAATAGTCTTTTGATTAAGATTCTGAAGGGCCAAGTGAGGCTGGCCCTGGGCCGAGGGCCACATGTGGGCTCCTTTAATTACTGAATGACTTGGCGTTAAAGCTGAGGCCCTCGAATGGTTTGTTCCCCTCTACTCTGTCCAGCTGCTTCATCTTTCAGAACTTGGAGCTACAAGAAGAACTAGGGACCAACCAAGCAGGGGTGATGGGGTGGAGGGGTGATCTACCCACAGTGGGAAGGCTGCAGGGTTGTCAGGAGTGCAGTCAGCCTGAGTGATTAGCAGCATGTGGCCATGAGGAAGCAGCCTCTAAAAATAGCCGGTGAGCAGTCCACAGTCAGGTCCAGTTTCAGCTCCAGAGCTCTTGGCCAGGCAAGACTGGTAGTCACGGTTCTAGCAGGAAAGGGCATGCTGGGTGGCCCATACCTCCTGGGAGCACCTTAGGTTTTTCCCGACAGTATATTTTATGCATGGATTGAAGAAATCAAAATGACTGAGGATAAAGGTATATGCCTGTTGGTTGGATTAAAAGGGGGCTTAGAACTGACAGCTTTCTTGCTTATTTTCAGCTGTGCTCTGTTCAGATGTTTTTGGCTAAGTGTTTTGTGCCTTCTACATTTTCTTTCCTGAGTTTCTGGAGAGGTCGACTTTTCACAGTGCCTGGGTTTTCATGGAATAATCCAACTTCAATCTGAATAGGTTTTGCTGTTCTAACTTAGACTGTCTCAAAATATTCTACTACCACAAATCATATTTTATAAACTTCCATACTCTGATGTGTCTGTTATAATGAACCTAAAGAATTGTGTGTTCAGATTTCTTATAAAAATATGGGAAACTTAGGGGCTATGTAAGTCTAGTTTTGTATTAGTGAGCATGCTTGGTTTGAGCAGGCTTACCTTATATGGAAATTGACCTACTTCATGTGAAGCAGAGGGTAAATGAAAAACAAAATAGAAGACATGAGAATTTTGTTTCTTAGATTGATGGCTTCATTTCTTTAATATGTTGCATTTACTTTTTTGTATACCTTTTTTTCTTTATAAGCAATATTTCTTTATTTCTTTATGTCTTTTTGTTAGTTTAAAACATGTATTGGATAGGTATATTGAAACTCCATGTAAGGAACTGCTGTTTTAGAACTTTAAATGCTCTGTTTAATACCAATGTGAATGCCCAGCACAGTGTCCACTAACAGTTATCCATGAATGGTTTGTAGTTTACTTAATGCCCAGTCAGTCACTGATCAGCAGGCAGTGGCCTTTTGTTCCTTGCCCTTTTGGAGAGTCTTTTCTGACTGTTGGGGCTGAGCCCGCATAGTAATGTTCTCTTCAGTACTGTGCGGGAACATTTTCTTATGTGGACATCATTTTGATGAGGCAGCATGGAAGAAAGTGAAGGCCATTTCATTTTCATTTCAGAAAATGAGTTGCCATATTCCTAACTCTAGCAAACCTCATTGGTGACTGCAGTTTGGATATGGAGTCGGAAAATAAGATGAAGACAGACTTAGATTTATTTTGATCTAGGGAAATAGCAACAAATGCTGAATGTTCTTCCAGAATATTTTTGTGATAACGTCCTGGTTTTGAATTTGTTTGTGGAGTTTGAAACCCTTGGGAAGGGTTTGCTTTATCACACCTCCTTCACTTGAGTCAGGAAAACCGATCTGCCCCTGGGACTAGGTACACCGAAGGCCAAGCACATGTTGTAGGCTTCAGAAAGGGGCTCTTAAGAGAGATCTGGGTCCTTAGCTACTGTCTGGTTTTCCTCCTGAGCATGCTCAAAGGAAAGATGTGAAGTGCAGAGAGAGTCTCCTATGACTAAATGCTTTTATCCTTTATGGAACTAACAAGTATTAATAGTAAGAAGGTTAATGATGCTAGAGTAACAAGCTGTTTGACATTGTAAAGGGATAAAGTATTTTTAACAATTTCCTATTTTAGTTAATGAGGAGCAATAGAAAAGATGGTGACTGTGGCAATGTCCAAGAGCGATTAAGATAAAAACCCAGCTTATTGTAGCCTTACCATTCTTTTTAAATGGAAGTTTAAATTTGAGATGATTTTCACTTTTTAAAAGATTTATTTTTGTTTTTTATGAGTGTGTGCACATGAGTTCAGATTCACACAGGGGTCATGGTCTCTAGTACTTATAAGTCATAAGCAACCACATCAATCATTAAAATAACACTAAATAAGCTGTCACTGGAATTTTTCAAAATAAGGGAAGAAATTGCTAAGTTCTGTAGGACAGGAGGGCCCCACAAACTCAGAGGCAGTGTTTGGGATTGGGTTTACTACACTTTTATAAACATGAGGACATTTCCCCTAAGCTATATGGGAAATAAATCTCTCTTACTTTTATATAACATACAAATACACACATGCTGGAGAGATGGCTGGGTGATCAGAAGTGTATACTGCCCTTGTATTCAGTTCCCAGCACCCACATCAGTGGCTTACAACTGCCTGTAACTCCAGTACCAGAGGAATCCAATGTCACTGACCCACATGGTGGCTCACAGCTAGCCACAACTCCAGTTCCAGGGCATCTGATGCTCTCTTCTGACCTTCTCAAGGACCAAGCCCCCAGATGATGCACAGATGTACATGCAGACAAAGTATTCATATACATAAAATAAAATAAGTCTGAAGAATAGTCTTTTAATAGGTACAGTTTCAATTTTCTTTTCTTTCTGAGCAATGCACTGGAAGTATTGGTTGCCTGAAGGCACTAGTGTTCTTTTCTCTGAAGTCTGTGTGGAGGTAGAAGGCAGGTGGAGATGGAAGTCATGGGGTTCAGCCCTCATTAGACACACAGAGCTTAGGAGCAGAGGTCAGAGGTCATTTTCTGAGTTCTACCCAATGTGCAGTGCTGATGTGGATAAACGCCTTCATCTTTCCCCTGTAACAGATGACAATTCCTATCCCTGAGAATTCAGGAGTTCTCAGGCAGGCAGGGCCCCTTGTAAGGAGTATTTGAGATATTTGAGAGAATTGTAATCCTGGGACCTACCTGCCTTTGGGCTGGGGGGATAGGGCATGACAAATGATTTACCATACGAGGAACAGCCATACAGAATGAACAATGTCCTGCTTAAGCTTCTGGAAACACCTTCTGCAGAAACATGGGCCAGTTGCCATGAGGGCCACACGTGGCATTGCTTGTGGCAGCACTGTGGGAAGAACCATCATGCCAGGTAGTGTCCTGCTGTGTTGGTAGGGTGGAGAAAAGTTACCTTTACTGATGTGGCATTTGGGGATAGCAGGTAATTAAGTATGTTTACTTACAGTTGTGGGATATAACATTCTTTTAAAGGAGAAATTTGCATATGGCAATAACTTCTTAAACAGTATTGACTATTTTATAACTGCCAATGACTTTCATGAGTTCTGTTTATTTTGACCGTCAGAAGAATATTTGTAGGAGAATATAAGGAACACAAAGCATAGCAAAACCATGATAAATGACACTTGGGGAGCAGCAGTTTACAGCGCTGCTTCCTGCATTGGGGCCAGTTGGCAAGGCCTGTTTCCTGCCTCCCCACACCCTGCTGGGTCTCCTGAAGGAGGAAGGTGGAAGTGTGCTGTGTCAAAGCATCTTTTGTCTGTGATTTATGTTTCTGTGCCCCCTCCCCTCACCCACCTTCCCTCAAGACTGAATGATTGCAGAGGGATTTGTTTCCTTCTGTGGCAGTTAACATGGTTTTGAGTAGTATACTGTATAAATAGGGTATGGAATGAGATCCATCTATATCTCTGATTTCATTAACTAAGGCTGTAGGCTGGGTTTTTGATTGTGTATTGCTGTGGGTTGAGAAGAGACATCCCTCCGTAAGAAAATAGCCACTCACCAGCACCAGGCAAAGGCAGCATCCAGTGAAGGAGCCGGCAGAGCCAGAGGGCACCACAAAGATGAGATAACTGTTCAGGGATTAGGAAGCCATGCAGTAAAGAAAGCCACAGAAGTGGAAGGCCAAACAGAGTGTCTGTCCCAGTGCCCATGACACTTGCTAAAGACTTGGGATATTGTATCAAAGTGAAAGCTGAATAGCTTTGGCTAATTATAGAGTTAAATTTTTGGACAATGCAAGATAACAGTGAGTAAATATACTGGGGCCAGTATTTTTCCTCATACAGGATGATAAGAACATGAAGTTTATTCGTCCTTATGACATACCAGTGTCTGCTATTTAGCACAGGAGGCAGGGCACATGTGGCCATTTGGACACAAAGGTGTTCCCATGAAGACTGTTTTTGACAAAGGGCTTAGAAAGAATGTATGTGTTGTGCTATCACAGCTAAAAAGCAAAACAAACCCCCCAAACCCAATAGCCCATCAAGAATTTCCTTCCGTTCAAAATTAAGATTATTTAAATATGGTAATTGAGTTTAAGCAGAAACTTCATTGTGTTCAAAGTCATTATTTTGTGTAATGCACTTTGGGGATTTAAGTAAAAACTGTTTCTAAAATGATCTGTCAAATCATTGTCAAAATAAAGGTGGCATTCAGCCAAGTATTTTCTTCTGTGGTGACACCTTACATTTTTCTTTCTCCAAACAGAAGGAAAGCATGGAGGACACAAGAATGGGAGGAGAGGAGGAATTTCCGGAGGCTCCTTCTTCACGTGGTTCATGGTCATTGCCTTGCTGGGCGTCTGGACGTCTGTGGCTGTTGTGTGGTTTGACCTTGTTGATTATGAGGAAGTTCTAGGTAAGAATTAGGCTACGATCTCTCTAGTGAATTTGTAAGAGGGAAAGTTCTTGGTAATCTCTAGAACTTGTTATTGCCGGTACCTCTGGTATTATTATTATTGGCTGTAGCTTTTCATTGATTCTTGATAAAGTGAAAGAAAAGAGAGCATTACTAGGGCTGCCTGGGAGTAGTGACCTTAATTTTGATGATTTCTATGTAGGCTCCCTATTTATTGTGGTATATGGAAGCTTCCATCAAAACAAATTTTGTTAAATTCATTTTCACTATTTTCTGTACTTTATATTTTCGATTCAAGTTTGTCATGAGTGTTGAGAATTCTAGATCATGAACTGCTTCCTTTAATGGACTTAGATCTCAGATAGCACCTCATTCTATGTAGCCCAGGCTGGCCTGGACCCTATAGAGATCCTCCTGCCATGGCTTCTAGTGTTAGGGTTACTAAAGTGAGCCTCAATGGCTGACTTGCAAAACCTTTCTTTAGCCAGAGTTTATAAGGAACTCCTGCCATGGAGCTGTGTGTGCACATGGATGAGTGTGTACACATGGATGTGTGTGTGCACATGGATGAGTGTGTGCACATGGATGTGTGTGTGCACATGGATGAGTGTGTGCACACGGATATGTGTGTGCACACGGATGAGTGTGTGCACATGGATGTGTGAGTGCACATGGAGGTATGCGTGTGTACATGGGAGGTGTGTGTGTGTCTATGGATGAGTGTGTGTACACGGATGTGTGTGTGCAGATAGACAGATAGACATGTGAGTGCTAAGGTGACTGTGCTGCCAACCGTGTGGCCAGGTGGGTGGGGCATCTCCACATTCTTTGAGGAAGTTCCTGGGGATACTTCTAATAGTGTCTCACTTTCTTTTCCCCTTTTCCTCTCTCTTACCACAATCACTAAAGTTTTCATTTTTTTTTTTTTAATTTATGTACCTCTGTGAGTGTCTGCCATGTGTAGGTACCCACAGAGGTCACAACAGAGCAATGGATTCCTTGGAGCTGGAGTTATGGGTGGTCAGAAGCCACCCGATATGGGCTTGGAACTGAGTCTGGGTTTTCTGGAAGAGCAGAAAGCCCTCTTGGACACTGAACCATCTCTCTAGCCACACTGAGGTTTTAAAAATGATTTGTTTTATATGAACTTTTTCATTTTTATTTTTTAAATGGATAGAAACAGCAAAAATTATATATTGTAAACATTTGAAATTCTACAATTCCTTGGTTTTAATACATCCAACATTTTGCCTAATCATCATCATCTAATTTTAGAATGAGTCTATTACCCATTCTTCCCCAGACATTACTCCTCTCTCAACATTTTGACTATCTGGGATTATTTTGGGTGTTCTGAGCATAGCATATACATGCGTGTGGCCTCTTGAGTTGCCTGCTTAGCATCACTATGTGTGTAAGGTTCAGAGTAATACTCTATCATATGGATATACCACACTGTTTATCTAGCAGTTTTGATAATAATCATTTGGTTTTCACTTTAGGCAGTTAAGAATTATGGCCTCCCTCTTTAATAATCCAGTTAAGGACATGGACTGGTCAGTAAGAAAAATACACACTTGTTAATGTTGTGTTGAAGACCCATCCTCTTCCAGCAGACCTCTTGTGCCAGTCATAGATTGTTCCTGTTTTTCTGAGGGGAGAGAAGAACAAAGAATAACACAGTATTCTTGCATATGATCTGTCACTTACTGATTTTTTATTACCTTAAGGGAAGTGTCTCCAAATAGGTGAATAAATTAAAAGAATTTTAGCTTGACATAAGCAAAAATATGACTTCATTACCTTACAGTATTGTTGCTAGGAAATCTGTGCACCTTTAATGATAAGTAACAATCTTCATGTTTTTGTATGCATGCAGCCAGAGCCAAGGACTTCCGTTATAACTTATCAGAGGTACTTCAAGGTAGGCTATTGGAGATGCATTTTAAGTGTACTGCATCTGTCTCTAAGACCTCATCCTTATTATACTAATTTAGTCATTTACATCAAGAATGTAAGTGGCAGGACCAGCTTCCCTGTGGAAGGCTCTCAGGAAGGAGTCAGCCTTGAAAATGATGTTAAAGTACTATGCTATAGGTAGCCTTGATGTACAGGTTATTACTTTCATTTTCTTAGCTGAAGGATGACATCATCATGCATTCTTACTGGTTTTCTTGTGTGTGTGTACTAAGTGGACTTTTGTATAGCAACAACTGGAGCCAGGGATCTGGGAATTTTTTCCTGTCTGCCCTGGGCAATCCTTTAATGGACTTGAAATTAAAGAACTGGAAACAATGTTTATTGCCAACTGTTTTTCATAAGAATGCTATATTCTTACTCTTTAAAATATTGCTGTGTACTGTTTTTTTCCACAGTTCTTGTCCAGTGATGATTTATAAACCATGTTGATTTTGGAATAATTTTTGTGTATAGACTGTAGACCCACTTGAAATACTAACCCTGTAGACAGTCCCCCTGAAACCATTAGCAGAGCACAGCCAGTGTTGAGTAAGGTTGAGTGAGCCCGGCTTCTCATGTTTCTCTTTTCAGCCTTCCCCCTTTTTTCCTTAAGTAATGGATGTCAGTGTCCAGGGCATTTTTAAGTGGGTGACCATAAATTTTTCACTTATTTCAGGAAGCCTCCAGTTTTACATACTTTACTTCCAGGCCAGCCTGTCCCTCTTAGGCTAATGCATGCTTTTTCTGTTGTGATTTATTGTTAACCATCAATCAATTTATTCTTTACTCTGTAATTATGCTCTCTGTTGACTTACTTATATTTGATCTTTATTTGAAACTTAGCTTGTGTTTATTGTTGATAGGTGAAGTTTTACATCTTAAAGACATCACATTTTATGCAATTGTTTGGCTGTTAGAAATGGGTTGTTTTTAATATATATATGTTCCAATTTTTATGGAAAATATTTTGAAGAGAACAGTAAAATTATTGTGAAGTTATAGGATCAGATATTCCCAAATCTTTAGGGAAATTATCCTCTCACTTGTATGTTAGAGTTTGTTAGCGGCATACTTCTTTAATCTGTAGGTGATGCACCAGTGGGTTCCGGTGATTTTTTCTTACAGTTCTGGTCTGCAGGAGTCAAAGGAGAGGAAATAAGTAATATTTATGGTGTCTAAAAACTGCAGTGAGAGATGGTTCATTATTAAGTTTGTTTTCTCTTTTCCTGTGTGTATCGTTGCTCTCCTGTTGCAGGAAAACTAGGAGTCTATGATGCAGATGGTGATGGAGACTTTGATGTGGATGACGCCAAAGTTTTATTAGGCAAGTACATTGCTTTCTTTCTTGTTGTTAGAAGGAGTTAGACACTGAAGTCAAAAGAATATGTTTAATATTCTTTAATGATATATATATATATATGTATATATAATGTATGCATAATAAAGTACAATAATAAAATTATTATTAGTTTACTAATTATCCACAGCAACTGTAAGCATTTAATGCAAGTTATTTTTCAACTTAATATTTCATTTTTGTTGATATACTAGATGATCACTTTTCATTTTGACTTTTCAAGTTGCTTTTTATAAATAACTGAGCATGTAGTTCTTACATATCAATTTTTAATAATTATAGCTTCATATTTATTTTTGGATTTAAACATTTCATAGTCTGAACTTATTGTTCAGAGATATAATGTCCTCATGTGTTTTCAAATGAGGAACAGATTTTTTAAAAGCATCATTTGACATTATTTATGCTGACTTTATGATGTAAATTTCTTCCTTCAGATACTGATTAGGTCAACTTTGTTTAGCATTCCTATTGAAAGCAGATGGGGCATGCTCAGTGTAACATGAGCTTATATGAAAATGTACATTTCTCACGGCTGACATAAGCTAAGATTGAAATAAAACCACAGCAGTAAATATCTTTAATGCCCTATTTGTATTTAAAATTTTACATTAAAATATGAACTAGTGGTCTTCAATCACATTTCCTTTTTTTTTTTTTGTTATAGGCTTCTTTCTGCCTTTGTAATTACATTACCAGCTAGGTGTTTCTTAAAATGAAGATTTTTATTTCCTCATAGTGCTGATTTGAATATGCAGATTTTGTAACCTGTTATTTCTGGTTTTGATCAGCTCATTTCCTTTTTCTTAGTATGAAGTAATATGTACTTAATCTTTATACCAAATTATTTAGCAAAGCAGTACTTATGGCCTGATATTTTATATGCACTAAGTTTAATAGCCTGCTAGATAAACTGTTCTGTGTATTTATGATCTTGAAGAAATAGAAAGATGCTATAGCCATTAAGCATCTTTCTATAGTTAGATATCACTTCCCTTCAAAAACAATTCTGAACATGAACTTGTTGGTTATGGTCAGCTGTGACACAGGTAGTGAGTGACTCAGCCCTACCTGCTGTGTGTTCCTCTTCATGCATAGCAGGAGTTAGTGTTTGCTGTTTACAGTGGGAAGTCCAATGTACAATTTTCATAGTATCTCTTGACTTAATCTTAGTGGCTTTCTTGCTGTAATTCCATCATTTTGTATTTAAATCAGAGTTTCAGTACATACATTAAGCTCTCAGGTGACCATAGTTTTAGGCATGTTAGGGTGATGGTATTGTTGTTTCAAGATACTACTTTAAATGAATTCTGAATAATGAAGCTTTTAGAGGCTAGTGTCATATGAACCTTGCTGCATTATCTTTTTTAACATTAATAACTTTAGTGTGTTTTGGATTTTAGGAACTGTAGTATAAAAATTGCATATAAACGCGTGCACACACACACACACATACACACACACACAGAGAAATTATAGACCCCAAGTCTATACTGCCTCAGTAGACTTGTACAGTTAGGATAGTCATTTGAAATGGAAACTGTGTGGTTTCACATGGGATTTTACGCTTTCAGTATTGGTTATATTTTTGTGTACTTACCCACTACCCAAAATGAAAAATCCATGATGAAGTTACAACTAGAAAACCAGTTTGTTTTGGACGCTAAGAGGTATTCTAAATTGTTTCTCTCTCTCTCTCTCTCTCTCTCTCTCTCTCTCTCTCTCTCTCTCTCTCTCTTTCTCTGCTTCCTTCCTTCCTTCCTTCCTTCCTTCCTTCCTTCCTTCCTTCCTTCCTTCCTTCCTTCTTTCCTTTCTTTTCTTTCTCTTAACCACTCTAAGATGTTAGTTAACGCTAACACTGAGAATTGCTGTTTGGAGGTAGACCGGAACAGTGTGAGCAGCTCTATTTGTTCCTTTCATTAGGCTTGTGTGTCAGGAAGTTGATGGGAGTGGGGGAGACCTCCCACTGAAGCTGTCCTCCATACAGGTTTCATTTCTTGCTTGGCTTATAACTTTAAAAGGATGAACTTTAGGCCCATTGTCACCACAAAATTTGAGGCATTTATTGTCTGCACCAGTACAACCCTAGCTCTGCTTGACTTAGATGACTGGGGTCTTTTCTCACACATGAGGGGATTAAAGCCCAGCTGTGCCTCAGTTACTAGAGTTGTCTGCAGTGACTGGTCCAGTGTTGGGGTGCTCTGTGTGATGAGGGAGCAGTCACCGAGCACATTTGAGAAACCAACCTCTGCTTTCCTTCCTGTTGGGATGATACCTTAATCCCTATGAGCATAGTTAGATTAAGGCAGGAAGCCAAGGGGAGTGAGGGAGAGGAGGAGGAGAGAGGGAGGACAAGACAGGACAGGAGAGAGGTACAAATGTGTGTTAAATTTCCACAGACTTGGCATTTGTTTCTTACTTTGGCCCCGACCAGTTGAAGTCTAAATTTGAATCATACTAATTTGTGGAAAGTCTACATATGTGTTGCTTTCCTTTCACATGTTAAGCCCTTCCCACCCCAGGAATTCTAAGTACAGAAGCATGAGTTCATCAAGACCAGTAGCTGTTACTGATTTTACTAATTCCCAGTCTTCTGATACACTTGGAAAATGTACAAATCCTGTATAAATTTGTATTGTTGTGGCCAAATTGTTTAAAATGCAAATGATTTTGGTTTCAGTTTGTTAATGAAACTTACATATGCATATATATATATATATATATGTATATATAACAGCTATTAAAAATAGGCAGTGAGTTTGAAAGACATCAATGGGGCAACAATGGGAGGGCTTGGAGGGAAGACAGAGAGAGGAAAAATAATGTAATTGTATATCAATCTCAAAAAAAAAAATTAAAGGAAAAGAGTGTTTCCCACATACTGTCAGTAGGAAGTGGTCCCAGGACTCAGTGCTGAGAGTAACTTCTTACAGTAGCCTTACCCCCTACAGCTAGTACCTAGATGACCCATGTGCTAAGTGCAGAGTGGGAAGAAATGTGAGGAGCATGGAACTCGCCCAGGATTTAATGCACACTCCCTCTGCTGTTCGTTTGGGGTGACTCTTAGGTTCAGAGGAATGACATGCCCAGGATAGTTTTTTTCTGCGGACTGGTTGGTACTCCTGTTCTAACTAACAACTGTAGATACAGAGCTTTGGAGATGGATTGGTTGGTAAACCTCATGTACAAACATGAGGACCTGAGTTTGGATCCTTACAGGTTCAGAAGCTCATTCCACATCAGGAGGTGGAGACAGGAAAATCCCTCCGGCTTTGCTGTCCTGCTCCTCTAGCCTGATCAGTGGTCTCCTTGGTTAGTGAGAGACCCTGTAGTGGGTCACCCTGAACCTGCATGGACTGCCATAGCCAATGAAAATCAATGTGGACCTCAAGGCTTCCCAGCTCAGTACCAGGTCATGAAGAAGATGCTTGACATAAACTTGTGACCACTACATATGCACACAGGGAAGTGTGTGCATGCACACAAACATATACATACACATACACATACACATACACCATTCACAAAACTACAGGCTGTTTGGATCACTGTGCAAATATTTGTTGTTCAGTTCCACCTGCCATACTGAAGAACAGAAGTTTCATATTTTATATATAGCGATGTGAAGTGCTTACAGCACATTGGAAAACAAAATAAATGTTTTCTCTACATGTACAGTGATAGTATTTAAGTTGGGGAGAAGAATCATTCTTACAGTTCTTTAGTGGAAATGCAGATTTTTGTTCAGAGCATTTGCAGGCTTAGGTTCAATGAAAAACAACCGGAGCTTGTTTAAAAAATTAAATACCAACTGCAATTTGTGTGCCCCAATAGTTCTGTTGTCAAATGCAGAAATGTTCACTGTAATTTTTTCTGACTTCAGCTAGTTAGCATTCTGTAGTCTCTTGTGAGGCAGCCCCGCTGGTGGTTGTGCTACATGGAGAAACTGTGTAAAGCCTGAAGCGATCAGTCTTTGGTCACAAAGGGAAAGGCTCTGAGACTCTGAGGTTTATATTCTTCCTGCTGTGACTGCCCTCTGCTTTTCTTCCTCAAACTGCTGAGCTGTTCAGTGTCTAGTGAGTGCACTGATTTGTTATCTCAAGGGTCTTTCCCTGGTCATTTCCTCACTGGAGAAAAACAGGATGATTTACATCTGGATTTCTGCTGTTCAGGGGGCCACGTTTGCCAGCAGTGCTTAGTGAACTGCAGACATCCAGAGACTTTGCATTGGGGCTGAGAGGATGAGGAGTTAGGGATGCCCTCACTGCACCTGGTTGCTAGAGCCTTTCTCCAGTTCTTTAGGCAGGAAGAGAGGATTATCAACAGTTGATTTTAACTATTGAACAGACTTAAAGAGCATGAGTCAGTTGTAAGAGTGTTGTACCACTAATCAACTTAGGTGTTTGATAAAATTACATATCTGAGTGTCTGGATGCCCAGCCGAAGATGCTGTAGACTAATCCTGGTGGCTTGCTTGCTCGGGACACTCATAGTTTACTCCAGGGCGGATGGTCATCACTCAGCAATTTGGAGGTTTGGTCTCTGATATCACCTCTGTTCATTCTTCCTATCACTGTCTACAGAGTTTGGTGACACATTTTACCAGTTTTCCCACCAAAGACTCTGGTGGGAAAAACTGCTGATGAGCTAGTAGGCGTGTCAGTTTGGTGGGGTGGATGGAGACTTGATTTCGAGGTGTGCTTCTTAACTGATTTCTATGCTTTCTACGTTAACCTTCTGTAAATGTGGCCACGATGCATCCCCCTGTTACGACCACTCTGCCTAAGCTTAACTTTTTCCACCTAACTGCTCTTCTTGTTTTCTCTTTCCCTCTTCCTTTATTCTTATGTAGGCCTGACCAAAGATGGCAGTAATGAAAATATTGATTCTCTTGAGGAAGTCCTTAATATTTTAGCAGAGGAAAGTTCAGATTGGTTTTATGGTTTCCTCTCATTTCTCTATGATAT